CTATCCCAGTTTTATGTAATTAAGGAATCGATTAGTCTAAAAAATAGTATAGATTAATTTCGACCATAAAATAACCCTATTAGCGGATGCTCAATTGACTCGCGAAACTTCTCTTAAGTATCATGTTTTGAACCGAGACACTTTTTTTTAATGATAACAATTTCTCTGAAGACAAGCTCTATGCTTTTAGAGCCCTTCCAGTCACATTATCTCTTGTAAAAATATCCTTTATTTCTTTATTTTAACTTTATTTTTAAAGATAAATTATTCATTTATCTATATTTAATAAAGAAAGACTAAATGACCACCCATAATCGTACCACTTCAACTTGATTTAGTGGAATCATCTTCTATTTGCAGCGACCACCACAACACCGGTTCCCCTTGCTTCTTTCAAATGTGCTATCTATCCAGATTTGTACATTCAAACATGGCATCCAACAAATCAAGCTTCGCCACCTGTTCGAAGTTGTTTAGGAACTTCAGGAAACTTCGAATTAGTTAAAAACAAATATGTAAGATTTACAATTCGTACCAGTGGCTCATCAATTGATGAAGTGTGTAGTTACATGTATTTCTATTAAATAATAATTTTTTCTACACTAGTTGACACTTATTCTCTTTGATGAAACATCAACCAATGCAATTTGCGCTGTCTTGGTTGTAGGACAAGATGCTGGCTGGATGGATTGTGAAGAACATGGTAAGAAAGTTTAGCTGCTATTGGAATAAATGCTATTTTTCTATAGGAATTAAACCCTCGCTGATAAAGACATCAACACATGAAACATTAACTGTTTATTATGCTAAAGCAAATTTTACAACAATTATAACACGTGATGTAAGTATATTCGAATCGTACGATTATTTAGCAGAAATAATCAATGCCACTAGGAAACTATCATTCACAACAAATTCGGAAATGAAATTCATTTTTTTTCCTTATTTTCATAAATATATATCCTCGTCTATGAATAATAATGGCATTAATGAACATGTTCTTAATTTAATATATGAAATCGAAAGAGTCAAACTACTACTTTTTGTTCCTAACTAAACAACGTCAATTACATTATTAATTAGAATAGGAACGATTTATCATCGATGCGTCAAAGATTTTTAAACTAAACTGATGCTTATTTGTTTATTTTCTTTTGTTCAAGTCATTTTTCTCTATACAAGTGTTTCGCCGTAAAAGTTAAATATTTGAAATTAGTGAAAATAATCAACAAACTATCTATGAAAGATGATCATTTTTATCACTAGTTTGTCATTTTATTCCAGCAAAGTTCTCATTAATAAATTATATTTTTACAATGTTTTCTTCACATTTTAGTTTTCTGATAGACAGTTAGGAAACTCTTTGTAATAAATATTAAATTGATAGTAGAATATTTCGTCTTTTTGTATACTAATTTATTTTTATACTAGATTGGAATCAATATTGGTCGATTCAATATCAATATCTATCAAAATGTTGAATTAGTTCCTCAGTCAACTGGTATTTGCAACTTGTTGTCATCCTATGACGGAACTGGGCATTTACAAGCAAAAAAGCGTTTCCGCAAAGCCATTAACTAATAACACAATAATCAATATGACTCTAATTTTTGCACTTATTATCACTGTTTTTTTAAACAGAAATATTAAGTTTTATTCCAGAAATACTTCATAAAATCCAAAATAAACGAGTTTCCCTTCTTTTTTCCGTACCATATGTAACTTATTTCAATGAGCTGTTAGTAAAGGTATTAATAATGAAAACTGATCTTAAGAGAGAACTGCGTTGATTATATTCAAGCCAAGATCTATGAAATAAATTATAACAGCCAGTCCATGTAAGCCACGACCGAAGTTGCTCAATCGATATCGCCCAATTCAAGATATGTTGTAGAGGGAAGAGTTTTATGAATTTTGACGCAAGCCGATTCAAATAATATTGATCCCTCGGTTTTTTATCAGCATTTTACTAAAAGGCCTAAAAATGACGCTATATATAAATGGGGGCGCTAATGCAATGATATCTCACGAATGGCTCAACCAAATGAGTTGAAATTTCTTATTGGCATACATCTCAGTAAATTCTATTTACCATAAAATTTTCGCTTTAAAATATTGAGTCATTGGGATTTTATGAAGCACTCAATATATGGAAAAAGGTCCATTTATGGTAACTTTGGCACTTCATAACTTTTGATACGAATGATATATGGCTCTTAAATTTTTACTGTTAACAGGACACTGCGAGATGTATCTCTCCTGAAAATTTTAGCTATCCATATCGTTCCGTTTGGTCAGGGCAGCCCCGTGAAAAACGGAATTTTGATAAATGTGGGCACTTTCAGAATAGGCTTTCTCCCAAGATATGGATTGTCTGGGCCGTTGGTTATTAGAAATTGGAAGTACTCTCTTTGGGCTACAATCCTGTCAAAAAATTAGCGTGGGATCTCCAAGAACGGCCCCAGGGCGTTCATTGCAAAATACGAAAAAATAAGCCTTTTTTTCTATGGGAAATCTACTCAAGTGCACTTCGAAATTCCTCCAAGGATTCTACTATGTGACATAAATTATATCTGGTAAAAATCGGCATTAAATTCAGTATTGCCTTGTATCGAAATATCCTTTGAAAGTGAAAAAAAAACTTTTACGAAAAATCTCCCAAGGGTGTGGGGTGTGTGGATGGGTGTGGGTGTGGGGTGTGGGTTTGGGTGTGGGTGTGTGGTTGTGTGGGTGTGTGGGTGTCGGGTGTGGATGGGCGTGGGTGGGTATCGGGTGTGGGCGTGGGTGTAGGTGTGTGTGTTTGTGGGTGTGTCTTATCATAACACCCCACAAGCCCACACCCACACCCACACCCACATCCACACCCACACCCACATCCACACCCTATCAAATAATATGAATATCGATAAGAGTAAGTCAATAGAATGACATATGTGAATATTCTCAGAACTTCTTTTTTTTACTTTGTTATGAGAAACAAATGCAACAAACGAAAAAACAACAAGACACAAAAATACATGATTACTCATAACGGTAACGGTTTCTTTTTGAGACATCGTATATTAAAACAATGCTTTTGTCATCATTTGTTTTGATCATGTTTATTTCTTATCTCCACAAAAATCAAATCAAAAGTAAATGATTGTTCTCATCTATATATATGCTGTCCTCAAACATTCACTACCTACATTTGAGTCAGTTAAAGTGAACGAAAGTTCACAAATTCTTTTTGCGCAATCTAAAATAAAATGAATCATTTTGATTATTTATTATTTTCTGTTGCATGCATAATCATCTCATGTTGCTTTAGTAAGTTTCTTAGGAAAAGATAATATCGATTACTCTTATCTACTTTTTCGTTCAAGCTGAAGCCCAAGCCGAACTTGCTGAATGCTATGTATGGGCAGATCCACATGTGATTACTTGGCATTCAATAGACAGTATTAATCATCCTGTGCAAAATCAGGATTGTCTTTCACCAGGATATTTTCCGGTGGTAAGAAATCAGTTTATTAATTACAAAATTATGATTGAGCTGGGATGGGTTGTTACTGTACGTATTTATTTGTACAATATGCAATGAATATCGGTGAAACATTATTTTTACAGGCAGAACTGTATTTTTATAATGGAACGTCAAAAATTCCAACTTGTTTGATGGTCATCGACGGTAATGAAATTTATACGGATGATGACGACATATGTAGAAGGCAGGGTAAGACGAGGTATTTAGCTAACTCTTTTATTTAAAAATTTTCAGGAATAACATGGAGCATGACAACAACTGATTCAGAACAATTGATGACGATTTCTCATTCAAAAGCCAATTTTGTAACAAGTGTAAGAAAAATGGTAAATAAAAATTTATATTATTAAGTTTTTCGTTATCTCAACATAGCTATGAGATTCGTAGGAAAACTTGATTCTTATGCTGGCAATGTCTTTTATCGAAGCATTAGATGTAATAGGGTGGGCGTGGGTGGGTGGTGGGTGTGGGGTATGGGTGTGGAGTGTGGCTGTGACTGTGGCTGTGGCTGTGGCTGTTGATGTGTGGTGTGGGTGTGGGGACGAGCGTGGAAGTGAATGTGGGTGCTGGTAAAGAGAAATCTTAGATGTACAACAACACCCACACCCACACCCACATCCAAGTCTCTTTTTTTTAATAGAAATCGAGTGAAGGGCTGAAATTCATACAGTGTCCTTTACCGAAATACTGACTGTAGACTAATGACTTGCAGCAAACTAATTATTAGTAAAACACTTTATAGAGATGTGTCTGCTATTGCATTCGCTGCATTTGAAATAATTTTTACTTCTATTTTGAGTAACTTTTGTCGCATTGAAATTCGTCCAAACTTAATTTATGGGTTTGAAAAGGTCGGCTCGTGAGTCCTAAATCAGAAGCCCTACAAACATCTCCAAATCCATGTTGGAAAAGAACACTAAGTCCTGATTCTAATTCAATGTTTTCAAATTCTGCAGGTACGTTTAAGAATGTGAAAAATGAATTGAGCATTTGGTCAAATTACACTTTGATCACCTATTACTATCCTTGTGTTCATCTTTTTGTTGATAAATAGCTTTATTCTTAGGTCAAACCATGCGATAAAGGTGGTTATTTGAATATATATGTATGGCAACCAAGAGATTTAGCTGACAGATCAACTGGTATTTGTAGGAAGAATGATCCAGATTGCCAGACGACGACTCGGACAATGAGTTTCAGATCTAAACAAGAGCGTATTGCCTCGAAAAATGAAATGATAACTGATGATGAAGCTCGAAACATCTGTAAAACATATGTTGACACATATTTAAATAAAATTTATCGCATACCGTCTGTACAAGATTCTACAATGAATGCAACAATACAATATGTAGTAAATAAGTGTGCGGAAGACTTGGTTTTAACTGAAGAAATAGAGGTATGTAACATGAGAGATACGCTTAAAATACATAATATTGGTTAACAGGTAGCACGAAGCGCTGTTGACGTATTAATGATGAAAGGGTTAACTAGGAACGTGATATCAATCGATTCACTCGAAACACAAGTACAAGTCAGTGCGCAAAAAGCTCTTGTTATTTTACATGAAGCCACAAAAGAAGCCGAAAGCAAAGTTCGAAATATGTTAAGTCGAATAGATATTCTAGTAAAGATTAGATAATCATTTTAAAATAGTAATTATTGCTTTTCTTTTTAGCCACCGTGTAATCCTTTAACACCACCAGGCACAGCACTGATAACTCCTCTAACTACAGCAACAACCCCAATTAAAACTACAACTATATTAGGTAGAGTGTGTTAAAGGTCAATTCTAACTTTATATATTTTTCTTTTAAATTCTTCTTTTTAGATAAAACACACGCTTATAATTTTTACACAGGAAAGAGAAAAACTAAAACGCGCCTTCCATAGATAATACAAAAGAATAAAGAGAAGAGAGAAAAGTGAACAACGAGAAGAGAGAAAAGAGAACAAATAGAAGAGAAAGAAAAGAAGATATTTCCTAGAAACAATATGATCCCGTATTATCAACACGGATCATACCACTCCCCAGTTAATGAAAAAAAGATGTTCTAGACAACTTTTTTTTGCTACTTCAATAGTATGAGAATTGTATAACAGCGAAATGAATTGTAAATATATATATATATATATATTGTTTTTTTTATAATACGAGTAATAATTATATAATGTAAAATAGTATAGCTTGTAAAGAATAATATTATCAAGAAATTCGTTGTCCGATGAAGCATCAAAAATAAAACGTTTAATATTAAAAAATATTTCCCGTAAAATAATAGTCAAATTAATTCAGTTATTATTATTTGATGAATTATTAATACTGGGATATGTATATCAAATAAATCCATTCGGCGTTGATAATGTATAATTAAAGTTCATTGTAAACGTGATAATAATACTAAGAATGCAATAATTACGATTTTGGCCAGAAATATTAAATATTGATTCTTCAATTCCATGGCAAATATATAAAACTGCATCTTGTCCAGCAAGATTTGTCATATATAATGATGATTAAAATTCATGTCACTAATTGAAACACGACTACAAAAACTTTGAAATTATAATATCAAAACCAAAGGATGATTTATTGATTTTCTTTCAGGATAAATAAAAAATAAAATAATTACTGTTGTGGAATCAATAATGGTTTTATGTCATTGATATGAACTCTTGATATTGTTTTAGTTTCTATATCTTCAACCCAATAGAGTGGATGAACTTTTTTTAATAATAACTTTTGGATGAACAGAAAACTTTGGATCTAATTTTGATCTTGTAGTAAAAATTCGAGTTAAAACTGTTGTATCTAAGCCATATTCAGGATTTTGACGATGATGATCATACCCAGTCTTGGAGCGTTGTTGTTGTTGTAAAATATTTTCTTTCACTGCTTCATGATAATGTTCTAAATTACGGATCAATTGATGAAAATAATCATTAGGTCTTGAGAATGTAAAAGCTGTTGGTGGATGATCTGTTGGAAGATATGCTTGCCGACCGAATGTAAGTTCAAACGGAGTAAAATTAGTTGTTGAATGAATGCTAGTATTGTATGCAAATATAATCGGATATAAGTAAGCGTCCCAATTGTTTCATTCACGATCAGTTAATTTAGCAATTTGAGTAACGAATGTACTATTAATGCGTTCTACTTGTCCATTAGCTTGAGGATGATATGGAGTACAAAGAATGTGATGATAACCAACTAATTGTGAAAATGAAATCATCAGTTGGTTCTTGAAGCTAGAACCTTGATCTGATGCAATTGCTTTAAGTACACCATAAAGACATATATAATCTTTAAAAATAGCCTCCGCTGTAACTTGAGCAGAACATACTGTTAATGGTATCGCAGTTACAAATTTTGTAAAATAGTCTGTGAGACATACAACATATTTATTGTATTGTGGTGTTGTTGGGAATGGACCACAGAAATCCTTTTCAAGTAATGCATTAGGACCATCAGAAGGTCGAACTGGATGAAGAAAGCCTGAACGTTTTTCTTGACTAATATTATAAGCTTGACAAACCATACAGGATTTTATATGATCAATAACAGATTGTTTCATATTTGACCACCAAAATTGTTGTTGGATTTTTTTTAATGTTCTTATAACTGCGAAATGACCACCAATTAAAGGATTATCATGATACGAAACAAGTAATGATGCTATCATGGAGGATGGAATATAAATTAATTTTCATTTTACTTTTTCATGATAATTAGATGTTAATTTACATAAGATTCCATCTTTAACATCAAACGAAAGATGTGGATTTCGTCTTAAATCATTAATAATTTTTTTGAATTTGAATATCATTATTTTGATGTTCTTTTAATTTCGTAAGATCGAAATATTGATTAAGATAACTTAAATGAGTAGAAACAGCTGAAGGAAACGATGAGGAAGCTGAAGGAGTTTGTGTTGAAGATGGAGAGGTAACATTAGCCGATGTTGCTTTAGATTGTGATCGTGTAACAACTGCACCAGGCAATTGAATAGAAGATTTATCTTCCGTGAATCCTAACCCATATTCAGAATCAAGCAATCCATCATCATATGAGATAGGATGACGTGAAAGATAATCAGGTAGACAATTATATTTTCCTTTGACTTGTATAATTTGTTGAATATTAAATTTTTGAAGTAATATTGATATTTTTTCAACATGTTTATTATCAATGTGTTTGTCCATCAAATGACAAATAGGACAATTATCAGTGTAAATAATTATATTTTGACCAAGTAAAAAGGATTTCATTCGATTAATACATTTAAATATTGCTATTACTTCAAGTTCAATAGGATGATAACGTTTTTGTGATGATGATGATGATGATAATAATTCGGAATGATAATAAAGTATTTTTTTAACATTATTAATCTTTTGGTAAAGAACACCACCTGTTCCTACTTTAGATGCATCAGTTGATAATAATACAGGTTGTGTATCATCAGGAAAATTCAAAAGAAGTGGAGATGAGGTTAATAATTGTTTTAAATCATTAAAAGATTTTGATTGTTCAGGACCCCATTTAAATTTATATCGATGTGATTTTGAAAGATTGGTTATGGCATGAATAGGTGCTGCAATACTTGCAAAGTTTGGAATAAATTTTCTGTACCATGATAGAGCACCTATAAAACGGTTTGCTTGAGCTAATGATTTAGGTTCTGGTAATAAAACAATTGATTTTATTGTGTCTGATAATGGAGTAATTGTTGTTGAATTAATTACATGTCCTAAATATTCAATTGTTTGTTTAGCTATTTCACATTTTGTTGGAGTTAATGTTAAATTATGTAATTGTAAAGCATTTAAAACTTTTTCAAGATGAATTAAATGTTCATCGTGAGTACGAGAAAAAATGACTATATCATCTAAATAAACTACAGAAAAATTAGTACAGGATGATAATACATTGTTCATAATGCGTTAGAAACTTGGAGGAGCAGTACGAAGACCTTAAGGAAGAACATTCCATTCATACGAGCCAAATGGTGTAATAAAAGCTGTTCTAAAACGTTTTTTTTTTCATCAATAGGTAATTGCCAAAAACCGGATTTTAAATCAAGTTTGGAAAAATAATGATAACCTGCTCCTAATGTTTGAGGAGTAATTTCCATGTTCGGTAGAGGATAATTATCTTTAATTGTTATTGAATTTAATTTTTAATAATCAATGACTAATCTCCAACTGTGATCTTTCTTCTTTATTAATACTGCAATAGCTGCATAAGGAGATTGAGATTGGCGTATAAGGCCAGCATCAAGTAATTCATTAATAGTCAATCACATTTCTGAATTTGAAGTTGGATTACCGGGATAAGATTTGGATACAGGTGGAGTATGAGGATATGTTTCAATAGCATGACACATTTTTGTTTGTGCAACTGTATATTTACTTGTATCAAAAACAAATTGAAATTTAAACAATAGCGATTGAATTCGGTCACGTTGAAATTGATCATTTTTATGATGTAGTAAATTTGAAATAACTTGTTGAGTGGTAATAAATGAAGATGGTGTAGTGATTGTATTTAATTGTTTATCTGGTGTTGTTTTCAGAGAATTTGATAATGTTACAGGAATGTCAGCAGATGATATTGTTGTATCCATAGGTATCATAATTGTATGATCATTAGCATGAAATATAAGAATTTTTTTTGCTTTAATTTCAATATCATATTTTAAAAGATAACCCATTCCTAACATAAGATCTGTACATAAGTTTGTTGTTACAAATGCTGGAATAATTGTTGAAATACCAGCTATATGAATATCCAAATGGACAGTTCCTGGAGCAGTTATATCTGCTAATTCCTTTAACCATATTGTGTAAATGCTCAATTATCTCATGAACCCTCTCTCATCCAATTAAAGTGAAAGCTTGAACAATATTTGGAATCTAACGAAAAATACGGACTTAATAGGGTGTAGGTGTCGGTATCACTGGGGTTGCAAGTAGACCAAGACACCCACACCCACATCCTAATACACCACATGGGGGGAGGGAGGTGGGAGGAGGGGAGGAATAGTCGAACATGCGCATATTCGACTATATCTTTCAATAATGGTGGTGCGTATCTATCTGTCTATTGATAAAATAAAAAGTCAATTGGTCACTCATTTCTTCATATCTATTGTCGTGTTTCTTGTAAAATATCATTGTAAAATTTTGTCTTGAAAATGATATCTGAAATATCGAAACGTTGACACTAATTGTATCATTTACTAAAATAAATTTAGCTGCTGTGAAAAATAGTTTTCAACTTTATATTATTAATGCTGCCCATTACCAAACACTCCTATATATCCATATCTCCTATATTTCCTCCGTCGATGTTTAATGGAGTTTCCTGAGAAACTCTCACAACGCATCATATGCAAAACATCAACATTATAGAGATGACTTTATCAGCAGTCACTTCTTCTCTTTCAACTAGTTAAATAAACCTTGCTACATGTTATTCATAATTCTCGCAGTTACCGAAATCGTTTTTCTGCTCTTTCTGTTGATTTTTCTCGCAGCTCATCTTGACGTTCAGTCTTATGTTTTGTTTAACATGATAATTTTATACTAATAGGTCATAATTATTGCTTTCTTTCAGTCCAGTCCGAAGAACCAATTTATGAGTGTTATGCCTATACTGGTTCTCATGTACAAACTTGGCATCAAAACGGTAGTGATAACCGTCCTGAACAATATCAAGATTGCGATCGGCCGGGCTTCCTTCCTCTGGTCAGAAATGAGTTTGTTTATTACAAAGTCAAAACTCAAAACAGATGGATGCTTGAAGTATTTTTTTTTCTGAAAGTCATGTAACTATTTTCAAAGTGTCTTTATCTTGAAGGGTGAATTATATTTCTATAATGGAACATGGAAGAATCCAATTTGTTGGCTAGTCTTCGAAAACTTCGAAATTTATCTCGATGACGAGGGCAAATGTCGAGGATATGGTGAGCAAGCAAGATCATTTGACTGTTTTCTATGATGCTTTTAGGCATAACATGGAGCATGACAAAAGCTGCTACGCATGATATACTGTCAATATCCTACACAAAAGCAAATTTTTTGACGACCATACAACACAATGTAAATGTACAGTTTTTGCTGCTAATTTTGGTATTTTTCTTCTATATTGTTGATATCATTCGATGGATTTCATTCCATCACTTTGAAATAGTTCTTTGCACTTATTATTCTGAACTGATTTTATTTTTAAATTTACTTGTTGAGTCTTATTTAACTTGTCAGAAGTATTCTTACTTTCAATCTGCTGTTCAAAACTCCTAATACTTTACCGAAAAGATCTTGAATTTTGTTGCAGACAGTGCAATGCACTAGTCGAATATAATCAAACCGTCTAAAATATAGTCAGATTCCATCTTTCTTCATAACTATCTACTCATCTACCATGTTTTCAACAGAAAGGTTCGACATATTGCCATGTCTTATCTCATCTTGAATTTTTTGTTCAAAACTTATTTCACAATATCTTATCTCATCGAAAGCACGGGAGACGTTTTAGATGCATTTGGGTCCAATTAGAAAATGAAGGCAGATTTATCTGCAACTTTCAGCAAATCTCAACTTTATGTTAGTAGTCATCACTGAAAATTTCAGCTTGATCCGTTAAACTTTTTCTTTACTTCGACACATAAAAAACCTAGACCCTAAATATACGTAAAAATACTCTATAGAGGTAACCTTGTGGAGCTTCGTTCTACACTATACGATTTAAACCTAGAGTGATTTTTCTAGAGTCAATGGGAATCCGTAGGAGCTACAATATAGCAAGCATATGAGGTTGAGCAAAACCTGCGGTGGCATGACTATAGGGTACATAGTCCCCACAATCCATGAACAAGTGTCTTAGAAGTAACCTTGTAGACCTTCGTTCTCCACTATTTGGTTCAAACGAGGAGTGACTTTTCTGGGTGTGGGGTGTTGGTCCCGATGTAGCGTGGGTGTGGAGTTGGCGTTCCTATGGTGATAGAAAAGACCGACACTCAGACCCACTCCCAGCCATACATCAAAAACACTTAAAGCCGATCCCACTCCTCTTCCCCCTTCCCCTTCACCATCAGCCTCCACAGTCAACACGCACACTCAACCTCACGATTATCACTTACAAAAATATTTTCCTTCAAAGTGAATTGATAAAGTGGCATCGAAATTCTCATGCCACATCAGATAACCCAATACTTCAAACCCCATACAATCTACTACGATTGATAATCATCCGATGACACTAACTAGTGCACCCTCATGATAACTTAACACATCCTTCCTTGCACAGTGGACATCTACATAGTTCTCTTAGTTAGTGATTTACTGTGTCGAACGTTCTTAACATTCAGACAGCTCCAGAAAAATATTCGAAGCCTGATTTCAATACTGCAGGACAAAGATATCCAATGTTCCCTCTATGATAATTTTTACTCCTAATTAAAATCCTATGTACATCATGGTGTTATCTCGGCAGCTTTTACTCACCCTCAACTGTGTGTGATACCGTAGTGCATACTGATTTCTAGTGATTCTGAAAAATTACTCTGCGTGCAAATCACATATTGGTGAACGAAGGTCCACAAGGTAACCTCTATAGAGCTTTTTCATGGATTTTTCGGACTAGGTACATCATAGGGATACCAAGACAGATTTTTTCGGTGCCTCATTTCCTTGCAATATTGTAGCCCTCAATGATTCCCAGTGACCATAGAAAAATCACTCTGAGTCTGAATCGTATAGTGGAGAACGAAGGTCCACAAGGTTACCTCTATAGGGTATTTTTACGTATATTTGGGGTCTAGGCTTTTGATGTGTCGAAGTAAAGGAAAAGTTTAACGGATCAAGCTGACATTTTGAGTAATGACTACTAACATAAAGTTAAGTATTTGCTGAAAGTTTCAGATAAATCTACCTTCATTTTCTAATTGGACCGAAATGCACCTAAAACGTCTCTCGTCCTTTCTTGTCAAAATCAGCCCTCTTTTATACTCTATTATATTTGCTGATATATTTGCAAAAAACACCATATTCATATGTAGAATGTGATGAAATTCTTCAGGGTAATTCTTGCCTGTATATCTGTGGTGAATAGATTAAGTGTTTATCAAGAAGTCTTTGCTAAATAAATTAATCATATATGAATATGAGCAGTTAGTCGGAAAGTTAACTTTCAAAATATGAAAGTCTTCTAATCCATTGATGAAAAGAACAAGTCGATTAATTACTGAAATTCATGTAATGTTCTTAACTGGAGCAGAGAGAGCTGCGTGAATCTGTACAGAATTTCAATGCCCACTAATGTAACATTCTGAGAGTCAGTGAATCTCACGGAATATGGGAACAGTATTAGTTCACTGCAGTCACAGCAGCGAAATTCGAAGCATTTATAATTTGAAAATCATCAGAACATTAACAACTCTTTCCTACAATTTTTTGAGGCGTGTAGCTTGGCTCTTCTATTGTAGTGCCGCGACAGCGGTAGATTTTTAGTCTCGATAAACATCTCGAGATTGGTGTTACGCTATAAATACTAGCCAAAAGACATTATCAGCCCTCAAAACAGTGGATTACATCGAGCTAACGACTAAAGTATGTGAATAAAGAAGAAGAATATAATTAAATTATAATTCATTCAGCGCATCAGAAAATTAATAAAGGTACTTGCTTGTTCTACAAACTTTCATCCAGTTTTTGTTCAAGAATACATCTCTCAAGATGACTGGAATTGTAAAATTATATACTTAAAGAAAGACAAATAGAAGACATATCCTATTGTTTGATTTTATAGACTGTTATTGATTTGTCACTAACTTATATTTAAATTGATTTGCAGTATAGTTCTCTAGCAAATACACCACATTTCAATATTTACCTATGGCAGCCACGCTCTTTTGTAGTGAGATCAACGGGTATTTGTACTAAGTCTGATCCAGCTTGTCAATTGGTAATGCGAACAGCGGAATCAGAACGTGAGAATGAAGATATTCAGCCTCAAAGACGAATTATTGCAAATAGTCAAGCACTAACCATTTGTAAAGCATATGTGAATGCATACCTGGACAAAAGTCGTCGAGTACCATATCAAAAAAGTACCAGTACGAACGATACCATTAGAAGTGTTTTGACTAGCTATGAAGCCGACTTAATTTTTACACGATTACTTGAAGTTTCAAAATTATTTGCACTTACAACAACTACTCCAAAAGAAGTAGGACGACAATTTTACATAATGATTACTAATAAGTTTCTATTTTCAGACAACATTAACTCCAAGTAAAACTACTAGCAATACAGTTACGCAGGGAATAACCACTGCTCAAGGTTAGTGTATTGCAAGTTTACAATAATTGGTGCAAATTGACAGAAGACTTCATATAAAAATGTTCTTATTATATACATTCGGAGTCTGCTTCTCATCACATACCAATAGCAGTGTTCAGCTATTGAAAAAGGAAATTTCTTTGTTCGGAAATCTGAACCAATCTCATCTCCAAACTTTAGACTTTCGAAGCAAGTTAGAAGACCACTAGAATTCTTCTCTGAGAGTACACTGTAAAAAACATCCACAGAATAATAAACGGAAAAAAAAACGTTTTTGATAGGGTATAAAACAAAAAAAATGGGTTTATGAATTTGGAACGCGACACAAACCCTTTTATCCGTTTTTGAAATATCTGATAAACCCTTTTTCCAAATTATAAACGGAAAAACCATTTATTATCTTCGTCATAAACGGAGAAAAAGGGTTTATGTCTCGTTGCAAATTCATAAACCACTTTTTTTACAGTGTAGGAACAGCGACTTATAAAACGTGTATTGTAAGTCGTACGTTGTTTTCTCCTTGAACTGGGTCAATATACAATATCTGTAACAGCTGTGGATATCCGCGGACACCACGAATGCAGCAAAACAAGATAAAGTTCGAAATGAATATGATACGGGTACCTATTCCTGAGTTCGGTTTTTGTTCTCAACTAGAATATACCCTTTTTCGTAAATAAGGAAAGCCACAGACACTCCACAGACGTCCATGGTTATTTTAATTTTTTCTTATAGAAAACGTTTTACAGTAAAACATTAAGGTAAATGTAATGGCCTTTTACAATTAAAATGAAGGCAGCAATAAGTGGTGTCCATAGACGTTAATAGTGCTTACAAGTATTCCAAAGTTACCCTTGATCACCTTAATATTTAATTGTAAAAGATTTTTTATGGATAAAAATCAAAGTAATCATGAGTTTCCGTTTAGTATCTGTGGGTGTCCATCTCCATGTAAAACATTACATTACAGTTGGAAGCAAAGCTCGCGGTCTACAATGGGTGTCGACGTTATATTCGTTTTAAACTCTATCTTATTTTCCGCATTTCATGGTGTCCATAGGTGTTTGAAGTTTTTCTTACAAATATCCAATTCATCATAATTACAAAAAAAAAGACTTATGAAATCTTTAAACGTTCATTTCAGTAATAAGCATGTTAGAATATGGCACTTTTATTACTCATGAAAAAGACTCAAGTTTTTATGCTTCTCTATAGTATGGGTGCTAGTTGGTTATTGCTGACTTTTTCCTTAATAATGTTCATCCACTGCTTTATCTGAAAATATGAATCTTCTTGAAATTTATAAAGAAGTAAGACTTTATGTGATATCGTGTTCGATTCATCCTACCAATCACATGCGATATTTCGGTTGCGTTTACCTATTTGATTCTTCAGCATTATTAATAATGAAACAAAGACTATGAGTGTTTTTTTCTCCACTATGGTTAACCGCATGTTTTGATGAATAATAGGCAACATTAGTCGATATGTAAAATATATGAATAAATATAGTGCAATTATATATCAAGATTAATATAATAGACACTCATCTTCGAAAGTGTTTTCATTGTTGAGACTGAAAAATACTTGGACGAGCGTAGCACAAAATTCTGAATTTCTTCAAAGCAAATTTTTATACCTTTCCTATCCATGTGGGAATGTTTGCGCTCGTATTTGGGTAAATTTCAGATCATTTGCTATAACCGCTGGTTGCCATAATCATACCACTTCATCCTGATTTACATACCTAAATTATCTTCTATTTGTAGCAACAACTACGACATCTGTTCCTCTCGCATCCTTCAAATGTGCTGTGTATCCAGATTTGTATATTCAACCGTGGCATCCAACAAATCAAGCTTCACCACCTATTCGAAGTTGTTTGGGAACTTCAGGAAACTTCGAATTAGTTAAAAACAAATATGTAAGAGTTACAGGTCGTACCAGCAGTTCAGTAATTGATGAGGTATGTAATTACTTGTAGTTGTATTAAATATATAACTTCTTCCATACTAGTTGACTCTCGTTCTTTTTGATGAAACATCAACGAATGCAATTTGTACTGTCGCAGCTGTAGGACAAGATGCTGCTTGGGCGGATTGTGAAGAGAATGGTAAGAAAAATTAACTAGTTCTACGTAGAATAAATGCAATATTTCTATAGGAATTTATCCATCGCTAATAAAAACGGCAACACATGAAACATTAACCGTCTATTATGCTAAAGCAAATTTTACAACAATTGTAACACGTGATGTAAGTATATTTGTACTCTAAAGTCTAGTATTTCAATATTGGTCGCTTTACATTCCATTATACCCGGATTAATTGAACCAAATTTGATCGTGAGTATCGTAAGATGTTTTTTAGAAGAAATAATAAATACGATCATTTACAACCCATTTAGCGCTTTCATTCATTTTTTTTAATGATTTTTCATAAATAGGATGCTTGCCTGTGAATAATAATAACGTTAATAGACATGTTCTTAATTTAATATATGAAATCGAAAAAATTAAACTACTACTTATTTTCTTACTAAAGAAAATCAATGGCATTATAAACTGGAATAGGAACGATTTATTATCACAGTGTTTAGAACCTTAAAACTGGATCGACAGATAATTGTTTATTTTCTCTTATTGGAACCATTTTTCTCGATTCAAGTTTTTCGCCTTAAAAGTTAAATATTTGAAATTAACAAAAACAATAAGCAATGTATCGGTGCAAATTAATCATTTTTTGTATTAATCTAACATTTTATTGCAGCAAACAAAGTTTTCGATAACAAATCATACTTTGCCAATAGTTTCTCCAAATCTTAATTTTTCGATAGACGAATAGGAAACTTTTCCTAAGAAATGTTAAATTGATAGTAGAATATTTCTTTTTTGTAATTATATTGTGATTTATTTTAATACTAGATTGGATTCAATGTTGGTCGGCTCAACATTAATATCTATCAAAACGTCGAATTGGTTGCTCAGTCAACTGGTAGCTGTGACATGTCATCCTGTAGTAGAAGCGAACACGTGGAAGCAAAAGACCGTTTCCGCAGAGGCATCAACTAATGGTACAATAATATTTGTTACCTCTTTAATGACTTATTATTACTTCTTTCCTAAACAAAAATATTAATTTGTAATCCAGAAGTACTTCATAAAATCCGAAATAAATGAGCTTTCGTTCTTTTTTTCATACTACCCAACTGACCATTTGATAGGTATTTCGATGCATGAATTTTGGCTTCCAATGGGCATCGTGATTTTATATTGAGTCATCGTATTATCACTATCAAATTGGACGGTTGGCGCTAGGTCATTTCGATGCACAGTTTCCGATTGCTCGAACATTTCTTTGCGAGTAGTCAACATTTGATCGAAATAGAAAGGTTTTTATTTAATACATGTGTCATTTTTCAATCGTCGAAGCCTATTGAATATACGTAGAGGAAGATATTTGAGTGTGGGTGTAACGAAAATAAGACAGGAGTAATGGTCTATTGCGTGTGTGGATGTGGGTGTAGGTGGATGGTGTTCGGTTCTAAGTCTGAATCTGTAGTTGGGTGGATGTAGGATGTTGATGGGTTATGAGAAGATCCAGATACATACCTACATCCAAACCCTATCCCCTTGACCAGGACCGTGTTTCACGTCCAGCATTCCACACTCACCACCACACCACATCCTAGACCAAGATCCATGCCCTCCACTCCATACTCGTCTGCATTCCACACCCAAGACCTACACCCAGATCCATATCCCACATCCTGTCTAAGTATTGAGAAGTAATAATAATAATACTTCTCCAGCACTTTTTCTATCCATGAGTTCTTAGCTTTACATGATTTTTTTAGTTTTTCGAAACTTCTAAGGGTCATTCAATATCTTTGTATACTCTAGTGCAATTTGGTAGATTTCTTCACATCTTTGGCGACTGTGATCGGTTCTGTGATTGTCAAAGTTCAGTAGAATCAAATAAAATTTTCTATTCATTCATTGTTTTTCTTTAAATTAAAATTTAAGAAAAATATGTTGAAATTTAATTTGAAATAGAAATCGTAAAGACTCAGTATGATCATAGCATTTTATCTAGTAAATCCCAATTTATGATGAAACAGTATTGAAAAATATAAATAAACTTGAAACAGACAGCAGTTCATATAATCACATACTATGGGTTATTTAATTTCAATCTGAATTTAAACAGAAAAAAAAACACTTGATTTCAAATTGAAATAAGGGACTAAGGGACTAAGGGACTAAGGGACTAAAGGGACTAAGGGACTAAGGGACTAAGGGACTAAAGGGACTAAGGGACTAAGGGACTAAGGGGAGGTCAAGAAAAGTGAGCTTCAAACTGCGTAAATTTCAAATTAGGAGCTCACCAAAGAAACCAACTGTGATGCCAGGTGCATCGTCTGAGATGCTAGAGGCATCACCTGGAATGCTAGTAGCATCACCTGGAATGCTAGAGGCATCACCTGGAATGCTAGAGGCTTCATCTGGAATGCTAGAGGCATCACCTTGGATGCTAGAGGCATCACCTGGGATGCTAGTAGCATCACCTGCTATACCACTCGCATTCTAGGTGATGCCTGCAGTATCCTAGGTGATGCTACTAGCATCCCAGGTGATGCTACTAGCATTCCAGGTGATGCTCACTTTTCTTGACCCTAAGGGGACTAAGGGACTAAGCGGACTATTCAGTGGGGAAGCGCGTTTCCCCACTTAACACACCTTTTATTTCAGCGTCGCGGCGTGGGGGCGCGCAGCGCCCCCCGAAGAGCCGCGACCCATGCACGTCTCTGTGTACACCATTATTCCTACCCTTAGTCCCCTTAGTCCCTTAGTCCCTTTAGTCCCTTAGTCCCTTTAGTCCCTT